TGCTGCTTTGTTTAGTTTAGTTTTTTTCTTTCAAAATGTTCAAACTGGGCCGTTTCCCCCCCCGGCGTGTTCACACATCCTGAAGGCCCCGTCAACCCTGTGCTTTTGGCTCTTCCCCTTTTCAGAATCTTTTTCATTGCATGCTGTTGTTGTTTTTCTTGCTGTGTGGTGGTGTGTGGGGGGGCTCCCTAAAGGCCCGGGGTTGTGGGGTGAAGCTCAGCCGCCCCCTGAAGAGTTTGAGGCTTATTCCCGGTGACCTGCTCTACTGCCTGTTGGTCATTTTGCCTCTGAATGGACTGACCAGCGAGGACTAACTGTCGATCGTTTATGCGTGTTTTTTTTAAATAAATATTTTAATATTCTAAAGTTAAAGATGCCTTTTTCAGTCTGTGGGACTTTGCTAGGAAACTAGCTGTTCTGTATTTTTTCAAATGTTTAATTTTTATCATACAAAGTGATTTCTCATCCATTTTATTTATTTTTTTGTTCAAGTTTTTTTATTTAAACAAACAAATACGGTACAAAGCTTGCATGGTATAGTATACAGAAATTAACATCTTAAGACACACGGTCAGATAATTAAAGTAGCCTACAGATAAAAGCAAAAATAAAAGGTGCTCCTGGATGACGGGAAAGGGAAAAAAAAAAAGAGGTCACTACTGAGAGGTCAGGTACACTTGAAAGAAATACCAGTTATTTAACAGTGATTTCTCCTCTTTAACATAACCCTAACCCTAATCCTAACCCTAACCCTCTAGTGTTCACACTGCCATAGCAAACGGAATAAAACCAAACTCCTCTGGGCCGTATCCTAGCAACCGGCTGTCAACAAACTGCTCCCTCCTCCCGGTAGCTCCATCCTCCCGGTACTCCGTCCTCCGTCCTCCCGGTAACACCGTCCTCCATCCTCCCGGTAGCTCCGTCCTCCGTCCTCCGTCCTCCCGGTAGCACCGGCCCTCCCCCGCCACCATGGCCCAGACTCCGGCAGAAGCCGCCATCCAAAGCATCATCCGGGGCATAGCGCGGAGCTGCGCCGCGGGCGGGCACGCGGTGTCCGACACGGCGGTGGCTTTCATGGTCGGTAAACCCGGTAAAACCGGGGGGGGGGGGGGGGGGGGGGGGGGGCGTGTGTGAGCTGCCGGTGACTCTGTCCCCCCTCAGGTGAAAGCTGTGATGTTGGACCCCAGAAACGGGCTGAACGTTGACCGAACTCTGACCAAAGAGGACGTCCACAAGCTCGAGGAGGTTCTCCATTTATTGGACTTTTCTATAGTTGATGTTTTTATGCTGTAAAAAATGATATTCTCTTACACAAGTCCTATCAGACTTTGATTCGAACAGTTTGACCTGGATGATGTTTGTTGTGATTAGACATAATGTGTCCGATTTGTCTTTAAATATTTCTTATTTCACACTGGGTGAGTTAGAGTATAAGTATAAGGCACCCCATATGGAAACACTATTGGCCCCACTGCCTGGTGCATGTCAGGGGTCATTAGTTACACAGGGACTGTCACATGTACGCTCCCCTGGGCTAAAGAGCCCGCTAACATCCCAGATCCATGCAAAAGACACTAAATGCTTAAGGCACAAACACTTTAGCCTTCATTTGAAACTGGGGATGAATGTGTAAATGCTGCAGAAGAAGGCGTCACCAAACTGTCCCCAAAAAAGGTTCTGGCAACAGTTGTGAAGTGGACAGAAGTAAAAAGCTTCTCTGGCTTTCCTTTATCCAGCTCTGTGTGGGCAAACTGACGGAGACGTGGAGGCCGTCGCTGGACACCATCAAAATGCAGGAGTATTTTGAGATGAATTATACCCCTCCACGTAAGTAAGGCAGAGCCTCTTTTCCAGATTTTATTGTGTTGGTTTTCAGTGTGTGCCTGTTCCTGCAGGCTGTCCATTAAGCCTCCACCTGAATACAGGGACACTGCTGGGTCAGCTTCCGTTCATTTTGGACTCATTTTTTACAATGGATTAAAAAAAACAACTTTTTCTCCACCAAACATGAATTTCTCTGTAGCTAGCACCGATCTTTGTTTCTTCATAACATGTAACTACCACTAGATCTGCACCTGTGTGTAGAAAGTCAGACTATGTCTGTCAGACCACCTTTTAGGAAAACAAGGAGATATCTTTTCTTTTTAGTACCAAAATGTTCTCATATATTTATTGGTTAAACCCCAGATAAAAACAGATAAAGGCTCCGTTTCCTCTCAGAATCAGCTCAGACTTCATCTCTCTGCTCTTGATAACAGCTTCCATTCTTCGTCTGCTGGTTTTCCTCTCCTCTCTGACAGTTTCTCTGGTTATGGAGTCCCTCAGAGTCTCCAGCGGTTCTTGCTCTGGTTAATATTCTGTGTGATCAGCCTCTGGATCTCCTGAGTCCCACATGGACTTTCTGCTGGTGGACGTCTTTAGGCCCCAGTAGCAGCTCCTTAGCAGCTCTGCTTCCCTTTCAGCCCTCTGCTTTGGTTTGCTACCTCTTTCCCGGCTCCCTGCAACAGATTCAAAGCACACTGACACTCTGAGGACACTTTGTGTCTTTTCTCCGTCTCACAGAGCATCCAGCATCGTGAAGCCTTAATGCTCACTGACATTTGATGCAGTTCTCTGTGCTTTGCTATTTTGCAACTAACAGGGGAAGTATCTGGGAAAATACAAAATGGATGGGCATTTTTCTTATGATACAACTCTTCTGTCCCTTTTGCTGTTTTTGCAGGTGAGCTGGTAGAGGAAATCCATCGCGTGCTTGATTCCAGGCTGAGTCCATTGAAACGAGAGATCACAGACAGTAGACTGAAAACCAGGGATGACCTAGACCACTTGTACCATAAAATGATCACCTATATTCTGCTGAAATCTTCTCTGGGCTCGCCTACAGATGTCATCGCTGTGCAGGAAACCACAGGTTACACACAATGTTCTGATATGGTGTACTTTTGGTGGAGGGGACTACAGTTCTGCATCACCCATGAAAGAACTCAGACAATATCCCAATGTTTCAACTGTAGCTGTAAGAAAGGGAATACGTCCGTTTGTAAACTTTTTCCTTTGACTTGCTTTGGAATGAACTGAAACATGTGAGGACTAACATAGACATTGTTTTTCAATCCTAGGCTACATGCACACTGCAGCCTGAAGTGACCCGTATCCGATTTTTTATTTATTTTATTTATTTTTGAGAAATCATTTTTGGGCGCGGTCATTCACATTTCCAAATATATACGAGTTCTGTGTGATAGCCGGCGTGAACTGCAAGCCAACCTAAGTGTCTCATGCTCAGTTGAGGACACAGTAATGACACAAGCAGCAACTGCTCAGTGTTTGAGCTCCTGTCTTCATAAACCAGGTGAGAGTCCTTACATTTGGCCAGTAGGCTCTCTATTTTCCTTGGCTTTGGAGCCTGAGCCTTTGTACCCAGGCTTGGCCATTTCATGGGAAATGCTTACAAAAATCTCCTGCCTTTGATAAGACCCATAGAGTTCGGCCTGGATGGAGCTGTATCCCCAAATACTAAATAACTCCTGAACTATGCTTTCTGTCCACTGACTGCTCTCCATGTTATCGTCTGCATGGCTTTAGTTTTTCTTTGGTGCAGCAGAATATTAGTTTGTCGAGGATCAGTGGCATGCAGGTTGGATTAATACAACACTGTACAGACTCAGGCCAAATCTGAAAAGGCCAGTTATGTACCAGATTCAAGGCTACATATCCAAGAGGAGCTGGTCGCATTTGAAGAAATCCCATCTGTGTTGTTCAGACTGCTGTGAAAGGGTCAGATACAGGTCGCATTAGGGCAAAAAAGTTGGATTTGGGTCACTTCAGGCTGCAGTGTGAACGCAGCCTGAGTCTTTAAGACCAATATACAAAGCTGAGCACAGTGTGAAGGGTATCGGTACTCTATCAGAGGCATAGTAAACATATAAAACAGTAATATGACAAGAAACATTGCCATCATGAAGATGAGTGACCTGACCGTTCTCTCCTCCCAGCTGCTCTCCAGAGCATCTTCCCCCAGACTGAACTGGGAGCATTCATGGTACTGGTAAAGAAAGATAAGGAACTGCACCTGAATGAGCTCACCATGATTGTCACGGGGATCCGACTCTTCAATAAAGCCAACAAAATCGGAGAGAAGGAGTTCAGCATCCATGAATTAAGTACATTTTTAGTTTAGTTTATTGGTTCTGGGAAGATGGTTTGCTCCTAAGTCAGCAGCTATTCAGTGGTCAGCCAGCCTGACAACATTCTGATAAAACAGATCAACCTAATTGGTTACCTCTCTGATTATTGTATTTAAAATGTGTCACATGAGGCTATATCTAATATATAACACGTCGGACTGATTTCATGTCACCTGTTTCTCTTCATTTTAATACAAATGATCAGTTCAGCCAACAGAAAAAATGAAGCGAATAACATCTGCTAACTTGTGTCTGTGGGTCTGGAGGACTTTTCTACCTCAGTTTGTTTGTATCCTCTTGGCTACAACTGGGATGTGAGGCTCTGATGGCTGGTTGTTTTAGAATTTTGATCATTTTACCATCAATTAAAGTTAAATTTGTACTCCCTTAAGGACAAAATGTATTGAAGTTAACACCATCACTCTCTAGAACGGTTACTCACTCAGTTTTACGTTGTCTTGGCAGTGCCTCCTTTGCTTATGGAAATACTTCCAGTCACTAGTGAGAGCATCAAAAAGGAAATGAGTGCTAAGCAGCGTCTGGCCTGGAAATACACAGCCGTCCTGGAGAAGCTAATAAACTCTGACATTCAGCCCAAACCTTCTGAGGAGCGCATCACCCTTCTTAAAGAGGCTCTCTACAACGTCAGGCAGCATGAAGTTTTCCTCAAAACCCTACTGGTGAGATTGTAAAAGCTAGTATTTCTAAAAACTAACTGTCATTTTTTCCCATCTATGTGCTCATCAATGTTAAATTCCAAATATGGAAGACAGAGGTTGACAAAAGGTTAACCCTGAAAAAAACAATAACCTGTTCGGTTTAGGTCAGAAAACAATGACCAATAGTAAGATGTTGGCACGAGGACACACAGGTTTAACATGGCTACTGAGAAATGAGTAGAATACACAGAGATGCTTGACTAAATGTAGATAAAGTCCTGATAAGCTTTCCAGTGAGCGTATGTCTGCCTTGAACTAAAGCCCCAGACTCTGACCAATGTGGTACTAATCCAGTACCATCCAGTTGGAGGTGAAAAGTGTACTGTTTGGCATCTGGTATCAGTTTATCAACACAACTCTTTCTTCCCTGATGCGTTTTTAAGAGCTCTAACTTAGAGTTAGGTTCGAGTTAATAATAGAGGTTAAAGATGACCATACTAACACAAAGTTCTACCACAAATCCAGTCCATGTGCAGCTCATTAAATGAAAGAGTGCATGTAAATGAATATTTATGTTCTTCACGTTAATAAAATGTTTCACAAAAACTAAAATGTTTTCTCTCATCCACCAGACTGATGCATGTTTATGTGCCAAGCATGTTGAAATCCTACAAACTGAGCTGTCATCCCAGCTGAAGAGGCTCAGAGAAACCATAAAGCCACAGACAGCTGTACCGACTGCAGCAGTCTATGTAAGTGTGTTCATGGGCCAGCCTCGGTCCCATTCTCATGCCCGTTTCCTTTTGATGCTCTGTTAGACATTTGGAGAGGGGCAGTGCCCTCCTGCAGGCGGCCTGCTGGAGCTCTGGACACTGGAAGTCTTTGTTTGCATGCTGACATCTACTGTGAACAATGTGTGCATATTTCTGGAGTATTTTGAATGTTGGCTTTTGATCATGCGTGGAAGGAACAGCTTTGTTGGTAACTGTTATGGCTTATTTCTAAGAATGATAGCCCAAAGGAACATGAGTTGTCAGATAGAGAGCAGGCAGAAAATGGAGGAAAACATCTGGGTGGTAACATAATCATTCGTGGACATTTTGTCCATGCGCTGATTCGGCGCTTCTTAAAAAAACCTCAAAAAACAAAAAACCTTGTACCTTTCTGTGGGTCCACTGCCTTCAGTTTGTGCTGACCTGCCTAATGGTGGCTGTTGAGCACAGGTTAAAGGCTAAAGCAGCTGGAGTCGGGGGGAGATCTTATTTATCTGTGTCAGTTCTTTTTCATGTACTGCTAGTTCCTTCATGTACTTACTAATCCTGTAGTGTAGTGTTTGGCATCAGGTACGAGCTGGTTGCATCTCCATCTGTTGTAAATCAGCAGGCCTGCAGGCTGTTCGGAGAGGGGAGTGAACGTTTGAGTCTCTGTAACACAATCCTGTGATTGATCAAATGCAGCCTAAGCAGCTAGCGCTTACACTGTATCATGATCACTGTTAGTTCAAATCTAAACGCCATCGTTAACATCCAAAGTTTGTTTCCTGGCTCTAAAGCAAACGCCTATTGGATATTCTTGAACATCTTAACCCCCTCTTATCCTTTGATATCCTTCCAGCCCCTTTTTAAGGTCCTGTCAAAGGTGTGGTCCAGACTCCAGGATGAGGCTGAACTCCTGAACATGCTCAGTAACATCAAAAGAAATCTGCAGCCTTTTGTTGCGTCTCAGGAAAATATTTTCTCTGAGGAATATCTGGACAGCCTGCTGGGGACAACAATGGTTAAGACAGATGAGCAGAGAATGTCAGAGTCTTTAGGTATGACTGATATCTTTCAGAAATATCCCAGAGTTGGATCTAAAGCCTGTATTGCCAACCCAGATCCTAACCCCTGCAGAACTGCCAGTAGACATGATTTGTCTGTGCTGATCAGGATTGTATTTTTGTTTTCCCAGATGAGCAGGTGGATCAAACTCAGTGGAAGAAACAGGAATGGCTCATGCCTGAAACAACAGCTAGTTTAAAGGAGCTGCCGTTACAGTTTAATGGATTCTGTGGTTACATGCTTGTGAACAAGGATGGCCTTCTGCTTCCAGGTACTGCTCACCTTTAGCCCTTCTCTTTTAGGACCCACTCAGCTCAACTGGCCTTGGCTTGGTTTGGGTGGTTTTCTCATTACAAGTGATGTCATAACAGGGAGACGGCCTTAAAGTCCTGTGACATCATTTTTAAGCCACACAAACGCACAACAATACAGAGCATGGGGGCAGAAATATACCTAGTCACTGTAGCCATTTGCTCCCTGATGATCCCAGAGAAAATGAAAAAGTGGGCTTGTGTTTAAAACAGGTGGGGTTCTTGTAAAGGAGCCATTTTCAACTCAAGCAGGTGTGCGGCTCTCTGGCCAATCAGTGGCCTGCAGTCTATTGACTCAGTTGCTTGAAATAAAGTAGGTACTGAAATTGAAATAGTGGCATGTGACAATCAGCTTTCAGGACGTGGAGGAGTGTAGAGTATTGTTCTAAGACTCCTCAGGTGTAAAACCTCCTTGGGATGCATGGCACTGTAGGACCTCCTCCTGAAACCAAGGAATGCAGTGCACGCACACCATGGATAAAGTAGTCATGAAAATCCCCTGGTGCAGTTCCCTCCCTTTTATCCAAACCCCACCGAGCATTGTCCACACCCTGCCCAGGAGGGACAGCACCACCTGACCCCCTATGGACAATTCCTGTGGAGTTGGGGAAGCTATACTCATCTCCAGCATTCCTTAATGGACTCCCTGTGGCCTGGGAGCAGCACTGATGGTGTCAGGTCCTAATTAGCTGAAGTTCCCAGAGGAGAATCAGAGGTGCTGTTCTGCTGAGTGCATGCAGCCATTTCCCTCCTCCTGAGGACTGGTGCAGGACGAGTGCTGCCCCCAGGCCTGGCTCCTGATGAGTGACACTACGTCTGCTCTGATTTGCCAGTTTTCAAGTTCCTCCACACTTTGCCCCGGCACAATGAGCTAATCTGCTGTCTCCTCAGCACAGCCGCCTCCTCACAGACTCCATCAGATACTGGTGGGGTTAGATACTGCTCGTGAACTGGTGACCGTGGGTATTTCTAGGAAAAGCATTCACGTCACTGTTAGGCACACACTGTTGAGAATAATGATTGGAACTGCTGCTGACCAGGACAGAAGGAGCTGCCGAACCTCAGTTTGTCTTTCTGCCTGTTTCCGGACAACTTCCTGTCGGTGAACTAGTGCCGACACCAGCAGTAGTTGTTGCACACAGCAGTTTTTAAGCACCCGAATGCGTCAAATACGATATTGCCACTCCTTTGGGACAACACGATTCTCAAGGATTCTCAAAGGTTGCTCCTGCTTCAGAACACTGCAGCAAATAAGAGCAGACACAAGGACTATTGATGGGCCACATTTGTGCCTGACCTTCACTAACCCCAACCCCCCCATCTGAGCCGGAAACCACACAAATACAACACTTGATATTTACATCTAATGTCTGTTATGTTGTTAGTTTAGTTTTCAGCATCTGACATCATATGTCTTTTGTAGGCAATCCAGATTTTGGAGTCCTCAATTACAAGGAGAGGTTCTATGCTTTTAGCTCCAAAATGGCTGCGTTGGAATTTTCCTCCTCTCCAGACTACTTTGTGGCTGAAGTGGAAGAGAAAACTAAATATTTCCCTGAACTCATCCAGCTTCTTCGACAACGTCAGCAATTTCCCTTGATCAATCAGTATTCTGAGGTTGGTAGCATCCTTCAGGTACCCTCGATCCATCTATTTTCTCTAGAGATGGAACTAAGTCCCTGTATGGAACTTGCAAAAAATGTTTAATATTTGAAAATTTGATTTCACATAGATCACATTTCTATGATCTGAAACACTGACAGAATCTATTGGTGATGTCAAGAAATAAGCTCAAACTAGCATGTGATAGCAATAGCCACTACAAAATTTCAGTAGCACCATACTGTTCATACAATTCAACATGACTGTTTTTTCAGATAAAAGAAGATGAAAAAACATGGGAGAAGCCAGTTGCCATGTGTGAGAACGGCACTCAGACTGTCCTCCACCCTATGGAAACAAACATCAGCAAGTCATATGAGTGGAATGAGTGGCAACTTAGACGGAAAGCTTTGAAACAAGTGAGTCAGATCATCTCCAATTCAAAAACATTCTTGTTTTATTTACCTAATTAATCTAGTTGAGGTTAGAGGAGGAGCTGGCAGCTTTCAAGGTGTACTTCGCCTCTCGCCACATCCCTGGGGGGGACAGTGTCCAGCCCCTATGCAACCCTATTTGAAATAAGTGGGTATAGCAAATGGGAGGAGGAATTTCAGATTGTGTTAACATAACCTTTGTGTCCCAAAATCTTAGGCTGACCTCCGGACTAAAGTCACACATTCTGTGCAGACTGATCTGAGCCACATGAGACAGCAAAACAGCACCCAGACCTGGCCTCCAAAGAATGCTGCTTGTCAGGCCAAGAGAGAAAATGGGAGCAATGTGCCCACACCTCAGACCTATATGGCATGTCTGAGGGGACAAAAAGGTGCACACATGGTCAAGACAAACCTGACCAGGTCTATTAATGAATAAATGAGCTGTGCAGATACTTTGAAGAAATCCCAACCTTTTTTTAATCAAATACCATTTTAGATGATATGGTTTCAATGTCCCTAAAAGTATGTGTATAAGACTTGCATTTCTCCAGGTTTCATCAGGACCAAAACTCACCTCTCTCCTAGTGGGAGACTGGACCTTTTTCTCTGTAGGCTCTTTTTGGTCAAATTGATGTTTACCTGTGGTGTTTCTTGTAGACATCATTCCCCTTAACGTTTCTTGTGGGATAAGGGCCCAATAAATTGTAAAATTTGCCAAATGAGAGCATGGAACTACCGGTAGTCCTCACAGAAGGGAGGCTCTCTACTCATAACACCTCCATTGATTCTCAACCCTGGATGACTTATTGCTGATGTCTTGGATACAATCTGATGGCAAACATGACTGGGGGAGAGGGGGGATGGGAGAGTGTTGACAGAGCAAGAAAAAGAATACCTACATATACAAATAATTACATACAACAAAGTAACAAAACCCGACAACCAGCTACAACCAAAATCCTTCTTTTTTTTTCTTTTTTTTTTCAAACTTTGTTTATTTGGTTTTTAACAAGAATTGCATAGCCATACATTTACAATGTGATGCATATAAAACAAACCATACAATTCCCTTGAGTTATAAGAACAAAACAAAAAACACAACAAAACGACCTCCCAGGCAATAAGAAAAAGTCATAAGAAAAAGGACACACGCACACAAAAAAGTTTTGAAATAGATAAAAAATTAAGATGCATTCTGCTAAATCTAAAAAAAAGTACAGTTTGTGCCCAGGAAAGCAAATACGGAACCATAAGAAAAGGAAAATCCGAAAAAAAGGACACAGGATGAGCAGACAAATATATACACAAAAGACTAGACTGGGACAGAATCAAAATTAACTTGACCAACCAATCGTTGTAATGGCTGCCAGATTTCTGCAAATTTGTCAGAGGAACCCCGTAGTGACATCCTAATTTTTTCAAGTTTAAGAAAATAAACAATATCCCTCAACCAAAGTATGAAAGAAGGAGGTTGTGGTGATTTCCATTTAAGAAGAATTATCCTCCTTGCAATAATGGTCATAAAGGACAAAGAATTTTCTTGGGAAGAGGACAAGGGAGATGGCCCCGAAAACACCCACAACCAAAATCCTCCTAAGGCCTCCAGGGGGAAACCAGGGACAGACAATCCTCAAAGAGACAAACCGAACAGAAAACATGGCACAGACAGCAACAACCCCAGCAGCAGACATGGAACAAAGTGGAGGATGCTAATGCACAAAACTACAGATGAAGTGACATTTTCTGAGCTCTATAGTGTGTGCACATGCACAAATATGATGTAGGTCCTACATGAGTTGTGCTCAGGTGTGATAATTACATTAAGATTGTATCTTAGACATCTGCAATAAGTCAATAATAAGCGGTGGGCAACGGATGGATGGACTAAAGTGGACCAGTACTAAAGTAACAAAAGGATGCTCCATATTCTCACCATCACTGTGAAAAGAACAGCATGTTCCACAATATTACGTAAAATTATGGGTCAAAAGCTGTTCTTCCTTCCCTTTGTGGGTGGATGGGACTTTCAGAATAATTCCTTCTAAGCATTTATTTAATTCTTTATTCCAACTTTCTTTGAAGTTTGCTGTTCAGTAAATAGCTGTGCATTAAAGAGGGGAACAGGCCATTCCTATCCATTCTGTCCGTGAGAATAAATACACCTGCTACTAATCTCGAGCCGGGTCCCAAGTCTCGCGAGACTCTGTCAACTACGTTTCATTCGGTGAACTCAGTAGATTCCACAGAGGGATCCTCTTCTGGGGGCAGAGCACATGGGCGGTGCTAATGCCAGCTGCCACTAGGTGCTGCTGGCAGCTCCACTTTCACCAAAGTGAACACATCTCATACTCAGATATATCTCATTCCTCTTCCTGTCTGTAAGCCTGAAAGCTCGGCGCTAAAAACAAATTTTGTTAATTGTAGTTTGGTCCGAACGCCAGTGGGATGACCTACATTTGTGTAACTGTTTATGTATAAACAATTATGTGAACTTGTCCCACTATCATGTATCAATGTACGCAACATATTTATGAAGTAGCGTTTAATGGCCAGCACGTGCGTGTATTTATGAAGTAGCGTTTAATTGAAATGGTAACCGAGCAGCGTTAAGAGCTGTAAACTTTTGCTCTACTGACTGCTTTGTATTAAAAAAACGTCCATCACAAAAGACAACTCAATCTGTGTAACCTAACTGATACTTTGTACTAATACCATTGCCTTTTTTTTGTTCGTAAATTGTTCAAAAATAAAGGCGAAACAAACAAACAAAGAACAAAACAAATAAAGAGCACAGCAGGGGCTCCCCTCTTCCGGGTATCGCGGGCAGGAAGAGAAATCACTTCCTGTTTATGTTCCGCCAATGACGTCATGCCGATCATATTTAACAACCTGTTTTCAAACCAAAAGAGCGAATAACTGCAGGAGTCCAGTCCTTTCTATATTACCATTTGCACTCGAATACGCTTGCGTATTGGACCACTGGAGGGGGAAGAGAACAACCTGTGCTTGAAGTTTTATATTCGCCATTGATCACCTAGCTAGCCGGTCTGCTAAGTTCAGCTAACGTCTGATGTGACTCTGCTAGCAAGCAAACCACTGAGCAAAACCTGACCATCTGCTATTGTAGCCAGCCTCTGTCGTCATGGAAAATAAGTATAACCTTAAGAGTCCAGGTAAGCTGACTGTCAAGTGTCTCCTATGTGTTCCTTAGCCGTCAGTGAATTTGCTAATGGGACTCCATCCTCCTGTGTTTTTGTTAGCATGTTGATTTGAGCCCACTAACGCTGACAAGCCCATGGACTCCTTTTCTTTGCGTGTGTGTCTTCTGGCTTCTTTACATTGTTAAATCGTGTTGTTAAAGGCGCTCGGTTTGTTGATTTGTGTCGCTTTTAGCTCAGTAACTGTCCAGATGATTGGCCTGTACCAATGAGTCGATACCTGTGACTCACCTGTTACCTGTAGACATGGCTTTAGCAAATCTTTTTTTAAAAGTGCTAAATAATATATCCTATGTTATCTAAAATATTTAAAGAAGTTGACACTTAGAGGGGCTGTTGTAATTATATGTAAATCCCACCGGGCTAGTCAAGTGTGTATACAATCACAAAGTGGATCTTTGTAGTTATTAACTTTGCACTTTTGAATAATATGCACCTTACTTATTTGGTTAAATTGAAGCATGGATGTATTCTTAATTGGTATTTGTGTGTTTTGTGTCTTCCATTGTGTCGTAGGCCGGTTATGATATCTGAGCCTCAAACTTTCAGACAAACATGACGTGTTACAACTGTTTAAATATCCAGAATATTTAACCAGTTGCTTAACACAACAGTAAGATACTCGGATGACCAACACCTCCTCCCTGCCTTCTTCACACTGCACCATCTCACTGCTTTCTTACAAAATCTGAAAGTGAGAATAAAAGCATTTGCAGCGTCCTGTAAGGTTGAGTTTATGCCACGTATCACCTGAATGTAGTGTTTACTCTTCTGAGGCCCGGCTCCTGTTACAGTTTGAAAAGGAAAGACACACACATACACACACATACACACACATGCACACACATGCACACACACACACACACACACACACACACACACACACACACACACAC